AAAATGCAAATGCAAAATCGACGCACGAAAGGGCTACGGCGAACGGCGCGAAAAAGACGTACTGGCGCGAGGCCGGTAGCAAAAGAGAAAGAACCGTGCGCGACTGTTCGAGTGAACAAGTACGTCGTCGGTCGGTACCTAATGAATACAAATAATACAATAACAAAAAGGACTGGGCGAAATTCGGTTGGACGTTGGCGGATTAGACTGCGTGTGTGTGACGAMGAATGCTGCTGGTTAGGGTCGACCGATGGAAGTCCACGCCGTGGACAGGTCGCGTYGCACCTTGAACGTCTTCTCCGTAAGGCGTAGTGATGCGTTTAACGTAGTGCGCCGGGTCGTATCGTAGAGTCTCGCAACGCGGCTACCAGCTCAGGAGGTCGTGGCTCAAGTTGAGCGGGTTGAAAGTGGTAAAGTACTCGCCGAGAGTCTGAGCGTGGTATCGTATGTTGCGCAGAGCGAGTAGTACGATAGATATCACATTGACTGACCACTGCGGCGATCCGTGCGCATGCGGTGAAAACGTTCTTCCATCCCGTTGGTYTGAGGTGGATACGGCGACGTTCGAATGTGCTGAATGCCGAAGGTGATCAAAAGTGATTTGAACAGATCCTACTCGAACCGTCGGCCTTGGTCGGTGGTGATTGATGATGTCGGCCGTCGAGCACGCCGAACCGTGCTATCCAGTTCGTGATTAAGAGATGCGGAACTGTGTAGGCCGACATATTCTCGAATGGCCACGGCTCTGAGCAGCGCGTGAATCGATCGACGACGATTAGTACGTGCTATTGTATCCGTTGGACACGGTGGTAGCGGCCCAATCAAGTCAAAATGAGTAGTGACTGTGACCGAAGCGTCGCTCGGTGTGATGCTGAACATCGCATAATGTTTGTGTACTTTGGCGCGTTAGCAAGGCTCGCAGGCTCAGTTGAATCGCGTGATTTCTCGATCCATGTCCGTCCTGCATCAACTTGTCGAGACAAAGTGTGGCACGTTACCGTGTAACGAGTCGAAAACTGCGCGCGGAATAATCCGAATACAGCGCGCCGCGCGCCGTACAGAGAGGTGCGCGCTTGCAACGACAACGGACTTGCTATATATTATCAGCTATAATACACTGAAGCGTCTGAAGCTRTGGAGATCGTTAAGTTGGTCGATTGCCCACTGCCGTTATTCCAGTAGCGTTGTCGTCTCGGCGATTTCAACAGTCGACAAGCGCTTCAGGGACGATGTTGTCGTTGCTCGAAATGTGTTCGACGTTGTGTATGATGAATTGAGTCAATAACGAAATTTGTCGTACCCATCTGTCAGTCGATGATCTTCTATGTCTTGAGTGTAAACATGTATAGGCGAACGGCTTGTGATCCACTCATAATAGTGTCGTGAGGCGCCCCTTCGACGAAATGTCGAGTGCCCTGCAAATACACGGCGAGAAGTTCTCTGTCGTACGTTGCTGTATCTTTGTTCATATACATTTTTCGAGAAAAAACCTAGCGGCCGCCACTGACCGCTGACGTTCAGTTATTCGAGGACGGCTCCCACGGCGTCGATGCTGAGGCGTAGGGCGGCGACCGGGYTCAGGTRCGGTAATCGTRCTGTATCGGCGAGCGCCGTCCGCGGTACAGTGGACCGTCCTGTTTGTTGATCTCGGCTGCCATGTCGTACAGCGGGGCTTGTAATTCGGCCGCGTTGGGAAGTAAAACGATGAAAGAAGTTCAGTGAACCAAGAAAGCGTTGAATCTGCAGACGGCGCATGTATTTTTAATTTGAAAACAAAATTATTGGCTCTACAAWGTTACAAATCATAAAATGCGCTGGGCCAGCTGCCCCTTCTGTGCTAGCGTTGGGGTAAGTCGAGAGTCGCAAGCGGGAATGGTGCAATGCGAAACTATTCACGGTGTCTGACGTGTTTTCGCCGAAAACGTTGGTGAAGCCTCGTGTATACGGACACAGAATATATAACAGGCGAAAAATTCAAATCACAAGGTGAACAGTGCAACCGTGAAATTGGAGCCACGACATTTGGCGTTTGAACGGTGCAATGATCGRCATTCCAAATTATAAGGTGTTGAAAAAAGCGTTAGTGGACCTGTTGTGCGACGTGTGACATGAGTGAGGTCACTCATAGTATAAGCTCAATTTATTGCTATTGCTCAATAAGGGATACGACGATCGAGACGATTTGATTGGCATAGGAAATTATTAYGATGAGAACCTATAATAGTGCCTGCATGTCATTCGACGATTTTAAATTGTTTGAAAGCTACATCAATGTACAAAACAGACGGAATATTTCTTTGTGGACTTCTTGTATACTTTACAATTTCATCATTTTAATTTTACAATTTTTCACCTTGCTTCTTTTTTTTTGTTCTTTTCTCTTTCTTGCTTCTCTTAACAATCATGTAAAAAATCCATATAATATGTAACCTAATCAATTGTAAGCTAATAACCACGATGTTGATGCTGTACCAATAAAAAAAAAATTTTTCACCGTACGCCAAATGATGGTACATTGTGAGTACTGTGTTGCAGRTGTAACGTCGGCTAAAGTGCATTTTACCAACCCCCTCACGATTTTCAAATTTTTTTTCAGATGAATTGTTTTTTTATGCTTAAAACGATGGTGTATTTATTTTTTCCCGGAAACCATTATTTTGRAAGTTATAGCCTTCCAAAGTTTGTGATTTTACGTTTATGCGCTGGACTGCCACGCGCAGCGCCTATAAGAAATTTTAATATTTKATAAATACTAGTTTACTTTTTGGATTATTTATAATTTAATCAGTAAATATACTTAAAAGTAATTAACGATATTATAATATGCTATATATGTACTTATATAATAACAAAAATAATATAATATATAGGTAAATAGGTAACCATTAGTCGGTCATCTACCTGTGAAGATAATTGCTTTTTAACAACATTGTTTAATTCCGAGGCCTACCAAAGGTGGTTTTACACAGCAAATCGAGGGATATTTTCGATTTGCGCCGAGGAGCGCAGCGACGAGTGCTGCAAACTGTGTAATCACTGCCCACATACTGCGGCAGTAAAGTAGTGGTGTCGCGCGCATGCGAATAAACGTAAAATCGCAAACTTTGGAAGGCTATAACTTCCAAAATAATGGTTTCCGGAAGAAAAAAATACACCATCGTTTTAAGCATAAAAAAACAATTCATCTGAAAAAAAAATGAAAATCGTGAGGGGGTTAGTAAAGTGCATTTGTTCCGAAACGTCTATCAACTGATGACAAAACTGACGGATCAATTAAAATTAGAAAATTCGTATAATTTTAAAGTTCAAACTAATACGTAATTGTCGAGCTGTCAGTCTCTGACTAAAAACTAATTTAAAAATTTAAAAAATACTTATAATTAAATAATTTATTATAATGATTATTGATTACCATTCTATATATAACTATTACCTCGACTATTACCTAGTCGTTTACGAGAATATATCATCAGCATTATATTATTCATTGTCATCTTATCGAATAAATTATATATCATAACATGAATAAAATGTCAACATATGTTTTATGTTTAGCTGGCACATAAACCTACCACTAAACAAGTGAATTTTAAAATTTACTAATTGTGTTTGCTAAATTAGTGGAAAAAAGTTTAGTGGTTGATAGTAACATAACATTTATAAATAAATTGATTTAATTATGTCAAATACTCAAATACAATAGATACGAGAAGATAATGCCAAATTGGTTTATTTAAATTGTGATGTTGTAGGATAACAATCATTATTTTGTTATTTTGTRTGGAAAAAAAAAGTATAATATRAACTGTTATTACACAAAAATATACAGGTATGAAATATTATAATTTTTAGCAAAACTTATAAATAAGAATAACTATAAATCTAAAATATTGTTTTTTATAATTGTATAYAACTAACCTTGTGATGAGTAAATATTTTGGTATGACACCAATGTAAAAATGTTTTATTATTTAGCATAGACTATCTATTTAAGATTTTGAGTAGACTGATGAATGTTTTGGTTCTACAAATGTAGACTTTTATTTCAATATATGCATATCWTAGTTTGCAAACCAGAAAAATGCTTCAATATTCATTGAGTTTGCTGGTAGCATATGTACATCAGTTGTATCAATAGTCTCATACACATGCAGTAATTACAAATTCCATAGGTTAAACCTACACTGAAAATCTACAAAAATCTAGGATTTTAACTGTGAATATATGACACTGAYTTTAAATTTCAACCAATATTTTCAATAAACAACTTTGAGTTGAATCAAAAGAAAAAAAATATTTCTACAGA